GAGGATTTCCTAACTTTGCCAGACAGGGATACCATGACCTAAAAAGCGGATGGGGCAAAAGACGTGCCAGTACTTCTGTGATAAAGGTGTTGTGACAGGCTGAGCCTCTGTAGTGCTGAGGTTCAGCCAAGTTGAGCCTTTGTTTTCAGCCTGTGCTATTAACTAGGGATTTGGGAAAAAACAAACACAGCTAAAATTAAAGACAAAAACAGAGAGATGGACAAGTAGAGTAGGGATGCAAAAATCTTGGTGGGTTTTACGCAAGGGTGTAGTATGATACTGTCATTTCTAGAGGGAAATGAGGCGAGGACTTATGGCAGAGAGTGAGAATAAGGTATATTTTGGAACAAAAGGCATTTCTTTAACCACCCCTTTCTTGGCACATGCACGTCCCTGGAGCAGAGGTGGAGTTAGGGAACTGGAGGTTAAAGATGTTGGATTTCATAAATCAGATCACTTTTCTCTCCTTTCCCCCCACGGCCCTGCTCTGCTGACTGTGCCAGAGGCCAGGCCGGCAGCCCCGGCTCGAAGGGATTCGCTGGCTGCTCTCTCGCACTGTGGGACTGCGTGCATTTCCCCAAAACCCTGTCCTGATACGTGCTCAGCTGCCAGGTGAACCTCGAAAGGACAGCACCACATCCTCAGAGACACCACCGAGTATCTCCCAATCCATCTCCTCGTAGCTCCTTGCAGAGAGTCAGAAAATACTCAGCTGCCAGTGACAAACGTGCCAGACCCCATGTCAGCGATGGAAGCACCATAAAGAGATTTACAGAACTGACAACGTATCCCCAGCTGTGCTGAGGGACGCTGGTCCTCACCCCTTAGCCTGGTGCTCACAGAAAAGTCAGAGCGCCAGCTTTCCCCTTGGTGGCGCGTGGCAGAAGTGCTACCCGTCGAACGGGGCAGACACAGGTGAGGGCACCCAAGAACGAAGCTTGACGCCCTACTGCCGCAGCCGTACAAATGCAACGCTCTGCACCCGGGGTGGTTTCTGCACAAGCAACCTCTGCCTCCGTTTCTTCAGCATAGGAGCGTCGAAGACACATATATGCAGGCACTGGTTCCACACAGTCTTTTGTCAAAGCTTTGTGGCACAAGACCATTACAGTGACAGAGAAAGCTGAAAGAAATGGCTGTTCCTCCAAAGAGTGGCTAAGATCTCATCGACATGAATCATTTCCAAACCAGATAGTTTTAATGGCAAACAATCACCCTGCCACCAAACCACAGGACAGCTACGAACCTCACTATGCAACTTAGGTAGTACAGTGCAAGGGGCAGCAGCTACATGTATTTTAATGATGAGGGCTATTTTTGTCCTGCTGCTCTTGCGTAAGACAGAAGAAAGCTGGTTCAGGGTAACAGATGCCCTTAGTTTGCAGTTTCTGTTCTTTCATCTTTGATGGATCTACTGCCCCTTCAGCCGGGGACGCGCTCATCCATGCTGTCCGAATATGGTTTATCTATCAGCTTTGTGTCTTTGTGGAAGCCGCGTGCTGAGCACGTGACATCTCTGGAGGCCTGCAAAGTCAGCCTATCTCTAAGCTAAGATTAGAATTTCAGACAAAACTGGTAGGATTTTCTGAAAGGGCTGGACACAGCTATGATGTGGAAATTTCAGATTCATGAAATCTAAGCACACTATTTAATCCTTTTTAGATGGTTCTAATTGTAAAGTGATATTTACCATAATATCAGTAATTCTTGTGGGTGGAGGGGAAAGGAAACAGCAAGAAGGGAGAAGCATGATGGGCCATAACAAAACTGGATCCAAAATCGATATCAATTCTGATCATTTATTCACTCAAAAGATTCTGCTCACAACACTCAGACACTGCCCTCCTTACAAAAAAGGGTTAGGAGACATTTTGGGAGATTTTCCCAGCCATTATATAAATCTCAGACTTGCAAGTACATATGGCAACTAAGCAAGTATTTAAAAGGGCAAAGAGCAACATTTTTGGTAGCTGTCCTTCTCTGCAGCATATTCGTGTGCTGTAGCTTGGGGATGCGTATGCTGTGCTCAAAATCTTGCCTAACATTCAGCCTGGAAGAGGGGATGATTATTGTTAATCTTGCTCCTGATCTTTGCATCCCAGCAGTGCCCCAGTCATGGTCCAGGAGGCTTCCTCTAATGCTCATCGCAAGCTGTATCAGTGGAGGAAGACATCCATCCCTTTCGGATAGAGGGAAGGCCTTGCAGTACTAAAAAGATGGAGATAGAAAGATAGCATTTTATGAGCCTTTTTCTTCCAATGAAAGGGGGAAATGACGTATAACTTCTGCATATCGCATGCTGAGACCCCTTCCTATCTCAGCTGTGAAAAATCAGGCCTCTGCACAGTGCACACAGTTAAGGGGGAGGAAATTGCCAAGTTGCTGGGAGCTCGGAGGGGTCTCCGGCAGTGCAGAGAGCAAGGAGAGCCTCTGTTGCACGTGACCTGCTTTAGGAAGCTACCTCCTTGGCTCCTTGCTCCCACCGGCCCTGTCAGACAGTTTTGATCCCTCTTGCAACAGGGACTGCAAATCTGGCAGCGCTCTGGCCAAGGGGGAAGAACTTCCAGTGGCTGGTCCCTCTCAAAGCAATAGTTTTTTGTTTTTTGTTTTTTAAGGTAAAATTCCCATTTGTGCAAAGCAATTGTTGCTTAACCATGGTGTTTTCAGCTCCAGTTCTGTCTCTCAGTGTTTTACTGCCCTCATGCATACAGCTACAGATTTCAATAAAGCTTAAAGGAGACTACGCAATTGATGACTGGACATGAATTACTTTGAGATAGAAGCAAAATAATGGAACTGAAGGTCCTTATGAAAAAGGAGGCGGGTTTCCACATAGTATCCAGACTGTTCTTTATTTTCTTGAAATGCAGCTAGCTACCATACTGGGAATGCAGCTACCAATCTTGTTTCCAGCACTAGCATGGAATAAATACTTCAGAGGAGCTAGAAGGGGGATGGGCAAAAAAAAAAGGAAAGGAAGGAAAAGGAAAGGATATTTTTGCATGCATATGAAATTAGTTATTTCCAATGGTTTTGCCCAAGTCGGATGCACTTTTGGAGACTATCTACAAAAAACTACATCAAACAAATGTATCAACCCTCCCCACGACCAGTCTCTCCCACAGCATTTGAAGCAGTATAATGTACTCAGCTCTCAAAGCCGAGCCTAGGAGGTGCCACAGTCGGAAACGGTGACTCTCATCTTGTAGATACCCACCCAAGTGATCTGATGTATTTGTACTCAGCATCTGGCTAGAAGCTAAAGGAGCTGTTTTAGATTCTGCTTTTTCAAACTGGATCTAGTGGTCTGCTTAATTTTAAGCACAAATGTTTAGCTAATTGCCAAATACGACTGGGGCTTTGAGCCTGCATCTTCTCTAACTACTGGGTGTTTGGTATTAAAAAAGGATATTGCAAGAAAAGTTTCCCCATCTGTTTGAAGTTGAGCACGTGCACGCGTTCTCCAGGACAGCTATCTTCAGCGAGCGGATTAGAGTGCCTTTCAGATGCGCCTTCTAAACTTTTCAAAGCCTGAATATGCTTAAAAACTTCCTGGCTGCAGCAAGCCTGTGAAGTGTTTCTATCTTTCTCTAGTTTACAAAGAGAAGTAATGTTATATGTTCCATACCAATTTTATGCTGTGGAAGTCATTCTCTCAAGCCATGCACAGAAAACCTTAGAAACCTCCTTCCCGTACACACACACACATTCCTTGGGCATGGAGGAGTTAATCTGACACAATGACTTCTAGAGCACTTTGCTTCATTAAAAATCTAAATTTAGACCTTTTCATAAAGTTGATGTACTGTTTATTCTTCCTACTACAAATCCAATGACTTTGGAAAAAAAAGCTGCAATTTCCAAGAATGCAAGTTTCCATTAAACACAAGAAGTTGAGAAATTGCCAGAATTGTAAACCTCGACCTGTGGGAAAAAGAATGAACTTCTGTGATTTCACTGTTTATTTTTCAACATTGTGCATAGTTTCTCCTATACCCATCTCATATGCCAATACCCATCTGTCAATGCCCGTTATACCAGCTGAACATTGCAAGGGGTCTGACTCAGTGCCCGTCCAAGCTAACAGGAGTTTTGTACTGCTAAAAGGAAGGTCTTGTCCTTTCTTTTTTTGTCCTTCCAGAAACAGTAATTAAGTTTGTCAAAAGCTGCAAAGGCCATGCGATTTTGGCTTTGGTCCTCCGCAGTTTTATGCAGGCGCTTAGTTTTCTGCCTGTGAGTTTTCTCAGATCCGAGCTAAGGTAAAGTTAAAAAGGTGAAACCCTTGGCTGGCCAGAGGAAGCAAGCAAGCGTGCTGCAGTCCTGCTGCGGTCGGTTGCTTCGTACATCGGCACAGAGCCGGCGCTCCACGCAGGCAGCGGGTCTGAGCAGCTTGCCCTCCAGGCGGATCCTGGCCTGGCGGATCCAAAACAAAAATGAAAACCAAAACAAAAACGAAAACGAAAACAAAACAAAAAACAAAACAAAACAAAACAAAAACCAAACCAAAACAAACAAAGCCAGGCTTGGAAGTTTGCTGGATCAAGCCTAAGCTATGGCTGCAGCACGTTGAATCCCCTGATCGCCCGATCGGCCGCAGGTAGCCGTGTCCTTCCAGTGCGGGGCAGGGCGTGCACGGGTGAGCGTGAATGTGTGCGAGAGCGTGTGTGCGTGCGCGGGGGAGCGCGCGTGGGTGTACGAGCGTGTGAGCGCGGGTGTGCGTGCACGTGTGTGAGCCTGTGTGCATGTGTGTGTGTGAGAGCGTG